CCGAAAGTGAATAAACTCTTTTGCTTTTCCTTGCAATTTTTCGCATCTTTCTTGCGGCACCGGATTGCAGACCCCTCTTTTGTGTCAGACCAAACAAGCAGACATTCTGGTTTTATTCTTGATCTTAAAGAGAAAGCTTTCACTCAGCATTCCATCGCTAAGTATGATTTTTGAAGGTTTTTCGTATGTGCAAATATTCTATGCCAGATTGAAGAAGTTGTGTAGGATAAGTTTGCTGAGAGGCTTAATTATGAATGGATATTGAAATTTTTAAAATGATGTTTCTGTACTGATTGGTATAAAAATTATAGAACTATCCTCCATTCTGTTAATATGACCATTTGCAGTGATTGATATTTCAAACAATAACTTGCATTCCTGTAACTCAGTTTGGTAATAATTTGTTACCCTTTTTTGATTTTGCTAGATTCTATTTGCTAATCTTTTGTCTAGAATTTTTGCATCTGTGTTTATAAAAGCTGTTTTTAATCTTTGTCATGATGTCTCTGTTAGCTTTTCCTTTCAAAGTATATACACCATCCTCAAAAGATTAGTCAGGGAGTGATTCTGTGTCCTGGAAGAGTATATGTAAGATTGAGGTAATTCTTCTTAAATGTTTGATAGAATTCATTCCATCTGACCCTGGACAATTCTTAACGAGAAGGGTATTTTTAGGATGCTCCTGTGAAGAGAATGGAAACCTTGAGAATCCTTATTGTCCAAGAACTTCTGAGCGGGAGGGAGAGAGAGAGAGAGAGAGAGAGAGAGAGAAAGCGAGAGAGAGAATCATATGGCATTTCAAAACACCTGACATTTTCCCAAAAGGACCTGGCTCCCAGTTTTCTCAACATACCACCTCGACCCAGCAGCCCTGAGGGTGACTGGTCTTATGAGCATCTGTCCTCCAGCTGCCGGGCTGGGTCTTCCCAAAGATGACCAAGACTCAGGATTTCAGAGGAGGCTCTGGTGTCAGGGAGAGGACACTGAGGGGGAGGGAGGAGAGGGAGGCTGGAGGCAGACAGAGGCTCTTTGTTTGCTCTGCTTCTGTGTCAATTGGGCAACACTGGCAAACAACAAATAACAAATATTGGTTCAGAGGCCCACTGCCTTCCCGCCCACCTCCTGCCGGTCAGTCCCTCAGCTCCGCTGCACGTACACACAAGCTCAGCTGTGGCACCAGGGCCAACTCTGTGGCTGGAATTAAAGAGTTCTATTCAGTTTGCCGTGGAAGATTTGGCTCAGGCTTGGGTTAGTCTGGAACCGGAAGCTCCCTTAACTCTTCTATCTCCTTCTCTTTCTTTCTTACTTGTCTCTCTCTCTCTCTGCCACTTCTGAATATTTAAGGAGAAGATCAATTTCAAGAAGGCAGCTGTGGTCCAGGGAAGGCTGGGATTCAGGAGATTTGAGTTCAAGCCTCAGAGCTCCATGAATGAGGCTCCATCGTTTTACCATAGTGTCCACGGGTGAAAAATGGAGGTACTGATCTTACCTTGCAGGGCTGTGGTCAAGACCACACAATCTTGGCACGTACAAGGGGCTACAAACACATGCATTTCTTTTCAACTGAGATTAATCAAGCCAGTCCATGTCTGAGGTTCTGCATCCAGGCACTCAGACCTGTCCCAGACTGGCCAGCCCCTCTGCGAGAGAACTCCAGGATGGTGTGCCCGGGATGGGAATGCCGTGTCCGTCCCTCTCTCTGTGTGACCCCAGATGAGCCCCCTTGGGCCCTGTATCTTCTGGTTTCCTGGGAGAGGTGGTATCCCTGGTAGATGGGTACACTGCAGAACCAGACTGTCTGATTTTGCAGTCTGACTTTGCAGCTGACCTTGGGCAGGGTATTATCCTCTCTGGTCCTCAGCTTCCTTGTCTGATCTGTAAGACGGCGATTCTAAACTGATGTCAGAGGGTCACAGCAAGCACTCAGTGAAGCTCTCAGGAAGTCTCAGCCATCATTCACTATCAAAAGGGAAGAGAGTTTTAGCTCTAGAGTGTCTCTGGTGTAGAATTAAACAATGTTAAGTGAGAGCACAGGTACAAATATTCCAGGGCATGGAACACTGTAATGGTAACCTCTCACCTCTGCATGCGCTGGGCATGGGCACACCATGTACCAGGCTTGTGTACACATCGCTCCAGAACTGGCCTCACCCTGCCTGTTCCTCCACAGAACCCTGTGTCTGCCATTCTTTGGAGGAACAGGCAGGGTGTTCAGAACCAAGGGTATTCAGAACCAAGGCCCTGAGTCTCTCTCCTGGTGTGAGCAGACGATGATGGCATTCCTGTTCTCTGGGTCTTATCTGAGAGTCCTTCATCTCCCGTGAGCACCTGTCTTGGGCTTGGACTTTGGGGACCCAATGAGAACAAGATGTGGTGCTGGCTGCTCTGGCCAGAGGTTGCTCTCTGCGGGAGTAGTGGCGCTCTGGCTTGGCTGTGGGCCTGTGGCTGGAGCGTGGCTCCGGAAGGCTCACTCTGGGAGGGTAGAAGGACTTCAGGGCTCCAGGGAATCATTGTTCATCTTCTTTCTTTTCCCCGAACTGAGCTTCCCGGATTAGGGGCATTAGCACAACGCTTGGTAACTCCACTTCCTGCCTCCTGGCAGGCCTGTCCAGCGCATCAGCTGCTTGTGGGCACGCGGCTCTGCTGGGTACCTTCCAGCCGATCCAGCCCCTGAGGTTTCCCAGTCATTTCCCATCACTGCTTCAAGGTCTCCACAGGAATCCAACCACTCGCCTGGGTCTGCTGTGAGAATGTGACCCTCCTGCCAGGAGTCTGATTTTCCCACGGCTCAGGCACAAGGGGCCCTTGAAGGGGACAGGGGCACTGAGGCAGGACAGGGAGCTTGCTCATCCTCACTGTGAGGCAGGTGTTGGGAAGGCCAGGCTTGCCTTATGTCCCCCGTGTAAACCGAAGGCCCCAGCTGAAGCAGTGGTCTCTAGAGTGGCGGGTGTGTAACCCCTTTGTATAGGAGACAATCTATCGGGGCATGGATGGACACAACCTAACTTTCAGTTGTATTTATTGTTATTGCAAAAGGTTAACGAATTACTCACTCCTATGTGATGTGTGGATTGGCCTTATCCCCCACCTAGGTCTCAGGCCAGACAGTGTCTGCCAGTGGAGCCTTTGAAATGTCCTGAGAGAAAGTGGAGACCACCTCACTACAGGGTATGGTAGAAAAAGGGGTGCTGACCCTGTTCCCTGTTTTGGCATTTTTTGTTGCCACATTTTGTGGTTTGCGTGTGCCCAGTTAAAGCAATGCACAGATGAGAGACTCAGGTTTTAACCCTCCAACCCTTACAAGACACACAAGTGCCTTCAAAAGATTCCTACAAAGAAACCAGGATAAGAAGATAATTCTGCCAACACAAACACAGTGAACAAAAATAAAACGGCCAAGCTGACACATCAGCTAGGTGTGATGTGAGCTCTTTGTCAACTAAAACAGGGCCGGGCACATTGGCTCGCACCTGCCTAGCACTTTGGGAGGCCAAGGGGAGAGGACTGCCTGAGCACAAGAGTTTGAGACCAGCCCGGGCAATATGGAGGAGACTTTGGCTCTACAATTTTTAAAAAAATAGCTGGGTGTGATGACACATACCTGTAGTTCCAGCTACTCAGGAGGCTTAGGCAGAAGGATCACCTGAGTCCAGGAGGTCAAGGCTGTGATAGCTGTGATTGTGCCACTGCACTCAGCCTGGAGACAGAGTAAAATTCCAACTCAAAAAAAAAAAAAAAACTTAACTAAAACAGAAGGCAACCCATGACCATCTAGACAGATTGGATAAGAAGTAACTTTTGGAAACCCCTAAAATGATCTTGAGGAATCTGAAATCTGGATTCAGATTTTATCTAAGGAACCCTAACGTTTCTCTAAGTATACATTGAGCCGTGAGATAGTATCCATCATCTGTAAGGCAGCATAAACATAGAAGAAGCAGCCTGAATGCTAATAATAGTTATAACAATCCTAGCTAACACATCTGGAGTCTTTATTCTGTGTCCACCACAGCATCTCCGTCTGTGGGATGTTTAGCCCCTGGGTCCCAGCCTGCGGGTGAGCACGCTCTTACAAGGCCTGATTCAGGCCAGGACACTGCTGATGCTTCTCCTTTTGCTACAATGATCAGCTGTCAAAAAGGACATTAGAAATAAACGAATTTCATCTTTACCTTATCCTTTGATAACTTCCTATTCCTCTGCCTGGTTAAAATATGCACAATCGTTAGTTTAAAAAACACACGTAGAAGGCACAGGCCTAGTGTTTTTCATAAGGACGTGCAGTCAGTTTGGATGTCAGGCTGGAGGGGACAGGTGGCCACATGTCCCTCAGGGCTTTCTGTGGACTAACAACGCATTCTGTTCTGAGTCTCTCAGGGTGGGGACCACATTCCTGGAAGCTTCTTTTCTAGTGAGAGGGGGTTCTTCCCCTGTGGCTCTGTCCCTAGCCCAAGGGGTCCCACAGGAAGCCCGAGGGCCAGGAGGACACCCCGCCTCTTGGCGGCAGGCCTCTGAGAGCCCAAGAGCAGCGTTGCAGGGAGGGACACCCGGGGAGGGGCTGCGTCTGACCCTGTGACCTTGAGCCCAGCTGCCTCCTGTCCTCTCAGGAGGGGTTCTGCCTGCCCTTCCCCGGTCCCAGGGAGGGTGGGGGGCGTCTGGGGCAGCTCCCCTCCCTCTCCAGCCTCCAAGTCGCCATCTGCGGACCGGGCAGAGAGCCCTGGCGTCGGGAGCAGAGCCGCCCGCCGGCTCCTGGCACGGGCACGGCGGTGACAAAGGCGGATTGTGCTCGGTTCCCTGCCCATCAGCGTTTTTGCGCTGGCTTGCTTCCACCGCGCGGCTGTCCGCGGCTCAGGAAATGGGGCGATCGGTGGGAGGCGACGAAGGAGCGGGTCGCCGGGGGCGGTTGGGCAAGCGGGCTGCACAAACACAGGAGGTCGAAGGTTGCGCCCCGCCGCCCGGCCGGGCATAAAGGAGCGCGCGGGCGGCCGGCCCGGGCGAGTCGGTGGGTGCGCGCCGCTCCACGCACGGAGGATGAGGCTCGCCGTGGGCGTCCTGCTGGCCGGCGCCGTCCTGGGTGAGTGCGGGCGCGGCCCGGGGGGCGTCCCCGGCCCGGCCACCTGGTGCTCGGCCGGGATCCCGGGCCCTCTGCTGGCCTCCGCCCGTCCCCGCTTCTCATGGCTGCCGCCTCTCTTGGTCCAGTAATCCTCAGTGCAACCCATCAGAGCGCCTCTAACCACAGGTTACCAAAACCCTTGGCTGCTGCCTCTTCAGCCAGGGTTGAGCTGTTTAGCTGGGCATTCAAGGCCTCCTCCGTCCAACTCCCCCCCCCCCCCTTCAGAGTCTGACGTCCTTTGGGCGCCTCGGTGCTGGGCCATCAGGTGGTTGTGAGCATGGATTTGAAGCCAGACTTGTCTCCCAATCCTGGCCAGGCTGGTCATGCCAGGGGGGTTATGACAGCACCCCAGAGAGGGCCAGTGGGGGCACGTGGAGGGCCCTGCCGTGTGTGCCTGCTTCCTGAGACTGTGGGCCCCTCTGTGCTGGAGCTCTGGCCTGCCATCAGGGGCGTTTGCCCCACCGTGGAGCCCCACGTTTAGCTGATGCACTGGCCATTTCTCCTGATGCACACCCGAGAGAGGGCCCCCACCCCCCCTTATCCCCACAGGACCGTGCCAGGTGGCACTCCACTGAGGACACGCTCTGGCCTATGGGAACTCGGGAAGGGTGGCTTGGGGAGGGGGCTGCCACTGACTGTGGGTGCCTCCTCGGATTTACCACTGGTCAGGGTGGAATAGGTCCACTGAGGCAGTCACTACAGGGCCCTCCTCGCCTGTCCGGCAGAGCTGCTGACTTCCTGGTATGCTTTGTGCTGTGGGGATTCTCACCAGCCAGTGAGCCAGCCCTGCCTGGTGGTCCACGGGGCATGGAGGTGACAGGGTGAGCGGGACACCACAGAGCTCAGATGAAAAGGACAATGTTCGCAGTCACGTGGATTTCCACAGCTGTACACATGGCCGGCTTTGGCTCTCCCTTTAAATGGCAGCCAAAGGGAGTGGCGGACTTTGAAGGAGGGCTCTGTGGAAGCAGAGGGGAGCCTGTGGAATGCGGCGTTTCTAGTCATTCCCAAGCAAGATGACAGATGCATGCCTCAGGCACATGAATGACATACCTGTTTAATCATGTACCCCCACTGTCGGGCAAGGAGAGACAGAGTAACTCAAAATGTGACCGTCTTCTGGGCCCTAGGGAGCAGACGCAGAGTCTGGAGGCCCAGGCCCTAGGCCTGGCTCAGTTACAAACAAAGGGGGTGACCATGGACCGAGCAAGCGTTGTCTCAGGATGATGGCACTTTCCACCCAGCAGGCTCTCCAGAGTGGCAACTGAAAGTGCCCTGTGCACACTGAGGAGGACACCGCATGCAGGCCAGGGACCAGCAAAGGGAGGGGCAAGGAGAATGCAGAGAGGCAGACCAGTCTCCAGTTGCAGCTGGGGTCATGCTGAATCCCTCTGGCCAGCGCAGGGTGGTTGGCAGGAAATGGGAGGCCAGCAGGGAAACTTTCTCTTGGCCCAGCCTCAGACTGCAGAGGACCCGTGCCTTGTTCATGGACAGGAAGGAGGAGGACAGGACGGGGGCGTGTGGCCATCAAGGCCCTTCCAAGGGTGAGGCCGGCTCTCCCCCGATACAGGGAGCAGGTCCCTTACCCCTCCGGCCTTTCTCTTCCAGGCCTGTGTCTGGCTGTCCCCGAAAAAACCGTGAGATGGTGTGCAGTGTCCGAACATGAGGCCAGTAAGTGTGCCAGCTTCCGGGACAGCATGAAGACTGTCCTGCCCGTGGATGGGGTCCACGTCAGCTGTGTGAAGAAAGCCTCCTACCTCGACTGCATCAAAGCCATCGCGGTGAGCCATGCTGCCTGGAGAGGGAGGGGAGGCCACACTTGGCCTTTCTCTGGCCATCTCGGAGCAGGCTCTGCTCCCGGGTGGGAGGCGGGTGTGGGGGCAATCAGCCCAGCTGCCACTGAAAGCATTTCAAGATGGAGATGCAGAGGACGTCTTCAGGGTATGCATGGAAAGCAGAAATCGGTGTCCTCTGAAAGGCGGCTATTCACAGGCACTAGGCTCGCTGAACTCAGGGAAACACCAAGAATGTCCATCATCAAATGATGACAGAGCCTCATTTGGAAGATCCTAGTAGCTCAGAGGCAGAAGAGGAGTGATGCCTATGGGGAGAGAGGGCAGTGCACGGCTGCAGGTGGTGGCCCTCTGTTTCCTAGGGTTCCCCTTCTGTCCATCTGCACATTCATTCTTGTGCCAGGCCCGACTCCATACCCGGCCCTGGGCCTGGAGACACTCACGGCCTAGCAAACACACACAACCAAACAGCACATTTCAAAACCTTGGGCATGAAGAGAAGGAGTGGAGTGTTCCAACCAGGACTCGCAGAGAAGCCTGCTTTGGCCTGGGTGGTCAGCGATGGCTTTGACGCAGTCTCTCTGAGTGGGAAGCGGCGAAGCTGAGACTCCAGGACTGAGCCCGGGTGGCCCCTGCAAAGAGCTGTAGGTAACATGTTCCAGGCAATGAACAGCAACATGTGCAAAGGGCTTGAGGTCAGGCAGAGAGGGCTTGCTTGTTGAAGCCACTAGAGGGAAGCCAGGGTGACTGGAGCTTTTGAAGATGGCATCAGTGAGAGCAGTGGCACAGGCTTCATTCAGTAACTGCCGGCAGGGGGGTAAGAACTGGGCTCCATTCTGAATTGTGGAGAGGTGGCGAGGGCATTTTAAAAGGTGAGTGAGGGAGGGGAGGGAACCAGGGCTCAGTGGAGTCGGAGCAGTGCAAAAGCAGAAGGCTGGCCGGTGGAAGTGTGATGAGGCTGGCTGGGTCTGCCAGCGGGCGGTCCTACAGGTGGGATTCCATCCTCCCACAGAGACTGGGAGGCAGATGCCCTGTCCATCCTGATGGACATATTGTGAAGGAATGACCCTCGGGTCCTTGAGATGCCTCTGAGCTGCAAGAGATACACATTCACCACTGCAGGCCCTTTCTAGTCAGTGCTTTTAGGAAGGAAGGGTGGGCCTATTGGTGGAAGGGTGTGTGTTGGCTACAGAGACAGGACGTTTCCCTGGAGGCATGGAGCTTTCTCAGGCAGGCACAGTAAGGGGACTGGGCCATCCTAGGGACACCTGCTAAAAGCCAGGTGAGAGTTTAATCAGGTCTTCTAGTGCAGGTGTTTGGACAGACTTGTCCCGTGCAGAAAGTTCTGCAGTTCTCAGAGCAGAGTAAACTGGAGGAGGCGGGAAGGAAGAAGGGGACATGCCAGGTAGGGCCCGACTCCCCCAGGGAGTCAGCGCTGTGGCTTTTCCTCATTCTCCGAACTTCTTACATTTTAAAATTTTTTTTGTAGAGCTAGGGTCTCGCTATCTTGTCCAGGCTGCTCTCGAACTCCTGCTGGCTCTGCCCTGGCTTCTGCTTCCCTCCAGTCCATTCTCTGTGGCCTATTTCTTCTGGGTTTGGTTATCGTGACCTGTGAGGCCATGCGAGGTTTTACTCCTGTCCGCCTGCTGGTGCAGGTTCCTCTGGGAGCCCTGCTGCTCTAGTGCTGGGCCCCTTGCTTTAGGCCTTGGCTTCTTGGCCTCCCGAGCCCAAGGCTCCAGTGACCCTGTAGAGTATCTTGGCCAAAAAAGCCCCGGTTCCCGACCTGGCTTCCCGGCCACTGCCCTGGGCAGGGCTCTTGTCTACTTGCTTACCCCTTTTTATTCAATGGCATGAGGGCTAGGGCGAGGAAGGTGTCTGCAGGTTTAAACAAAGCCACGTGTTTTGTATATGGGCTGGAGTTGTGGGACAAAAGGGCCCACGTGTCTTCTAATTTTTTGTTGCTGTTTTGAGATATTAAAAAGAGTTTTTAAGGCACAAATGTTTATTGATGGAGAATGGATACACGAAATGTGGAATATACATACAACAACATGTTTTTCAACCTTAAAAATAGATGGAATTTTGATGTATGCGGTAATGTGGATGAAACTTGAAAACGCAAGTGAAGCAAGTCAGATACAAAAGGACAAATAATGTATCATTTTACTGCTACTCAGTGCCTAGAATAATCAAATTCGTAGAGCCAGAAAGTAGAATAATGGTTACCAGGGGTTTTGGGGAGGGGGAAGAGAAGGGTGATTGTGTAATGGGTACAGGGTGTCAGTTTGGGAAGATAAAAAAGTTCTGGAGGTGGAAGGTGGTGACCTTTGCACAATGTCCCTGAAATACATAGTGTGACTGTGCTTAATGCCCCTGAAATGCACATTTGAAAATGGTAGAAATGGTCAATGTTATGTATATCTAGTTACAATGAAACAACTGCAAAACAGCTCCAACCATTAAAAAGGTATTTCAGCTAGACAAAGGTCTAGTTTGGCTTACATCAGTATGTTACTTCATTTAGAAATAGTTCCAGCTGCTTGGAAGGCTGAGGCAGAAGGATCTCCGGAGCCCAGCAGGTCGAGGCTGTGGTGGCCAGGAGCGGCCACTGCACTCCAGTCTGGGCAACAAAGTGAGACTCCAACTCAAAAAAAAAAAAAAAAAAAAAATACCGCTGTTTTAGTACTTGTCTATAACATGACAAAGATTTTCGAGCTATAGTTTTGTAATTTGACCAATAAGAAGTGTTCACAGAAAACTCGCAAGGAGTTCTAGAAAAAATCATTTTCATTAAAAATATTTGAAGCAAGGCTGGGTGTGATGGCTCAGGCCAGTAATCCCAGCACTTTGGGAGACCAAGGCGAGAAAATTGCCTGAGCCCGCAGGTTCAAGACCAGCCTGGGCGACATGGTGAGACCTTGTCTCTGCAATAAATCAAAAAATTAGCCAGACGTGGAAGCAGGCGCCTGTAGTTCCACTCCTTGGAAGTCAGAGGCAGAAGGCTCGCCAGAGCTCAGCAGGTCGACGCTGGGGTGGCTGTGTGTGTGCCACTGCACTCCGGCCTAGGTGACAGAGTGAGACTCTAACTAAAAAAAAAAAAACAAAAAAACCCTTTTGAAGCAAAAAAAAAAAAACAGTAAAAATATGTTTCTGAGTGTCTATATAAAAGATGGTTTGGCTCACTTTAAGAATTTATGCAAAGGGAAAATAAATTATAGGCCCCATAGGAAGGCAGCTTAATATTTCAAGTGACCCGTTGGTTTAAAGGTGAGGGTTGATAGATGAACAAAGTTAAAATAACAGCAACAGCCGGGCTCAGTGGCTCAGCCTGTAATCCTGTGCTTTGGGAGGCTGAGGTGAGTGGATTGCCTGAGCCTGCGGGTTCGAGGCCCACCCAGGTAACTTGGTGAGACCTCATCTCCACAATAAATCAAAAATTACCTGGGCGTGGTAGTGTGCACCTGTAGTTCCAGCTACTTGAAAGACTGAGGTGGAAGGATCGCTGGAGCCCAGCAGGTTGAGGCTGCGGTGGCTGGGGGCGGTCACTGCACTCCAGTCTGGGCGACAGAGTGAGACTCCAAGTCATAAACAACAACAACAAAAAAAACATTCTTAACTTGAAGTAACAGTGAATGATAAGAAATAAATCCAGACAACAACAACCAAAACATTCTTAACTTGAAGTAACAGTGAATGATAAGAAATAAATCCAGACTGCTTGGATTCAAATCTCAGCTTCGTAACTTACTAGCTGTGTGGCCTGGGGAAGTGGCTTAATCTTTCTGTGCCTCCTCTTCCTCACATAAAACAAGGCTGAGGCTGAGTGTGGTAGTTCACGCCTGTAATACCAGCATTTTGGGAGGCTGAGACAGGAGAATTGCTTGAAGACAGGAGTTCAAGCAGCCTGGTCAATATAGCGAGACCCCATCTCTACAAAAAATTTAAAAACCAGTCAGGCATGGTGGCACGTGCCTGTAGTCCCAGCGACTCAAGAGGCTGAGGCCACAGGATCCCTTGAGTTCTAGGAATTCGAGGTTACAGCGAGCCATGCTTATGACACAACACTCCAGCCTGGGTGAGACTGTGTCTCTTAAAAAATAAATAAATACATAAAGATATAAATAAAATGGAGCTGAGATGGAAAGCCAGGTGAGCGGCCAGGTGTTAGAATAGATGACTATACCAAAAATGAGTAAAATGGAAGTCATAGGCCTTTTTATCACTTAGCACATGGCATAACCAAGAAGCTAAATCCAGGAGGCGCCCGATCCCTGAACAAAAGGCTCCTGCAGTTTTTGAACCCAGGACAGGAAGGAAAATATTGAGTACTGAGTGGAGACAGAGATCTTCAAGGTTTCCATCCACTCCCAGAAGTCTCCACAAAGACACCTGGACCTCACAGGAACTCTCAGAATAAAGAGGTGCTTGAATGAAGGTTGTGGTCCAGAGATCTCAACAGCTATAAAAGCATGGCCATCTAGGGGAAGCCAAACCCTTGCCTTCGGCCCTCTGAAGCTACACACACTGCCCGTTCCCTGAGTCTGGGAGGCGCCGGCTGCTTGCCCCCACCAGACCCTGCCGGTCAATCCTTTGTACTTGCCAAGGGTAAAGTCACAGAGGACTTCTGGCCAGGAGATGGACACCCTGGCAGGGAAAAGAGAAACAATCCCTTCCCATATGTAGGAGGAATGGGAATACGGTGGCCAAGCACCCCTTTGAGGAAGACAGAGTCAGCTGAAGCCAACAGTGTCACAGGCGGCCGGGCCAGGGGGAGGGTTCTTCTGGCTCTGGCCCGGTGCTGGCCCTGTTCATCAACCCTGCTGGTCCAGGCCCAGGTGGGCCTTCCTCGGAAGCAAGGGCTTTACCGAGGTCTGGTCTGTCTCTTTCAGGCCAACGAGGCGGATGCCGTGACGCTGGACGCAGGTTTGGTGTACGAGGCAGGGCTGACTCCCAACAACCTGAAGCCTGTGGTGGCAGAATTCTATGGGTCAAAAACAGGTAAGTCCTTGCTGGGAACCCAGGGGGCGTTTGTGGCCTTTGTTCTGTCCTGGTAGACGCTGAGCCTTGTGTTTTACAGGCAGGGATTGGAGATCAGACACGAATGAACATCAGTCTTGGGGGAGTGAGTAGGGAGCAAAGGGCCACGCTGGCCACCGTGGGCACACATCAAGGCCTCTGTGGACAGGGATTGGCTGACGCTGGTGCTCCTGACATGGCCCTGGACCAGGGATGTGCTCACTGGAAAAGCCGAGCAGGCTGCATGTAGCTTGACCTACAGGCTACTATGGTCTAGGGATGTGCCCAGGGTCCCATGCACAAGGCAGAGTCCTCTCTAGAGTGCACACTCGGACCCCAGCCATCCTGCAATCTTCTGAGAGCCACCTGGCCATCCCTGGGCCTATGCCAGGGCTACTCTGAGGGACGCAGGGAATGTGGCCTCTATTGCCACAGCTCCAGTTGGGGGCTTGTGTTGGTAGATGTGGGCGGACATGCTGCAGGACCAGGGTGAGCAAAGCTTCAGGGGCCCATGTGTCTGTGGCCTTCATGCCCTGCATTTGCCTGGAGAGGTATTAAGGATGTAGCTTTTGTGATTTCCTTCCACCCCCCCAAGCCTAGTAAAGTTTTCCAAATTCTTCCTTCCTTTCCATGCAAAGCCATATAAGCATGGCCTCTGGGCGCCCTCCCCTGAGAGCCCAGCGGTCATGAGCGGCATTTCCCTTGGCGGGTTGAGGGTTTTCCTTTCACTCTGTCCCTCTGCAGAGCCACAGACTAGCTACTATGCTGTTGCCTTGGTGAAGAAGGACAGTGGCTTCCAGCTGAACGAGCTTCGAGGCAAGAAGTCCTGCCACACGGGCCTGGGCAGGTCTGCTGGCTGGAACATCCCCATGGGCTGGCTTTACTGTGACTTACCTGAGCCACGCAAGCCTCTTGAGAAAGGTGAGCTGGCAGGAGGGGCGGGGGTGTCCTCGAGCAAAGGTCTTTGCTCCTGATGTCCACACAGGCCACCCGGGGTCACGGGCTCACAATCAGCAGGACCTGAGGGGTGAGCTGGGTGGGCAGGGAGGCCAACCAGCTTTAAAGTGACAGGTCTGCCGTGCCAGCAGCCTTGGGAGGGGGAGCTGAGCTCCTGTTCTGATGAGTGGAGCAAAAGCACTCAGGCCTGACTAAGGGCTTTGGCCTGGACCACGGCAGCAGGGCCTTCTCATCCGCGTCTCTGGAGTTTGTTCCTGGAGGTTTCTCTGGTGGTGGCCGCTGGCCGTGAGGTTGGCCTGCACCTTTCTGGGAGGCTCTCCCACCTCCAGGACGTGGATCCCAGAGGGGACCTCTCTCTGTGCTGTCCTGGCCTGTGACAAGCAGAGCAGATGGGCTGACCCTCGGAGACAGGCTTTGGTTTGGGGGTTCACACGCCTGCTTCCCTGGGTGGGTGGTGATGGGACAGCGGCAAACTGGTTCCTCTCTGGAAACTCTTGACCTTGACAAGCTAACCCAAGAAAGGGCGAGGTGGGACCTCACGCACTCATTGTGCTGCGGTCCCCTGTTCCCTGCCGAGCCTGGGCCGGGAGATGTCACGGGCTGTGGCCAGCCTCACTCATGCTCTGGGTCTTTGTCTCTCTCTGTGTTGAGCAGCGGTGGCCAGCTTCTTCTCCGGCAGCTGTGTCCCCTGTGCAGATGGGAGTTCCTTCCCCCAGCTGTGCCAGCTGTGTCCGGGGTGTGGCTGCTCCTCCCTCCAACCATACTTTGGCTACTCGGGTGCCTTCAAGTGAGTGACACTATCTGCTGACTGGGTCTAAGGTGCTGAGTGTGCTCAGGGGGAGAGCCCTCTCCACCGGCCCAAGCAAAGCCCTGCCTGCCTACAGGGGCATACTGGGGACACAAATTGGGACTCCTGAGGCGGGGCCAGCCCTGCTGCCTTTCATCTGACCTGGATAAGCAGGCCCCTCTCCTGGGAGCCCTTTCTCTCCCTTCAGGGTCTGGGTGGAGCCTGTAAGGGCAGGCATGTCTTTAGCGCCCAGGCCCCTGTTCGGAGACGGCCCCTCTGCCCTGATTCCACCTGCTCAGGGCCCTGGCCTTGCCCCTGCCACTCTCTGTCTCTGTCCAGGCAGCTCCCAAGGCTGATTTCTAGCTCTCTGTTTTTATCTTGATTATATCCTAAAGGGTTATAGACAGCCAAAGGCACATTGCCACTCTCAGGACCCACTGCACCATCATCTTCTATTCTGGACAGAAACTCTTTTCTTTATTAAAATGTCTCCGATTGCATTTTGCTTCTTTAGGGTATAAGGTGAGAGACTTGCATCTCGTGCGAGCTCGCTCCCTATCTTGGTGGTACCTGGATGTCAGCCCCCTACGGTGCTGCCTCAGCTAAGGGTCTACACAGAGGCCTCCGCCAGGGTCTGTCTCTGCCCCAGGGCTGGACAGTATGACCGGGAGAAGGGCTGGGCCTGCAGCAGCCCTCCTGATGTGTTTCCTCCACACAGGTGTCTGCAGGATGGGGCTGGGGACGTGGCCTTCGTCAAGCACTCGACCGTGTTTGGTGAGTGATGGGAGAAGAGGCCAGCAGGGCCCCTCCAAGCAGTGGACATGCTCTTTCCCTGTCCCCTTTTTCATGCTTGTAGCCAGACATGAGCATTCGGTGTTTCTCCTTGATCATTGCTTGACTTTCTACCTGTGCAAAGGCAGGTACCTTTGGGATACCCACCTGGATTCTTGAGCCTTTTTTCATTATTCAGCCTCTCCACACAGTGACTCGCTTCTGGGGCAGTGTTGCCCTCACAGAGGACCAGGAGCCGCTCTGGCTGACCTTGGCCTGCCAGTTGTCCTGCTGAGATCGGACACGTGGTGGGACATGGGGCAGCCACCACTGCACGGGGAATGAGGAGCCCACGTCCGGCTGCGGGTCTTGGGCGAGTCTCTTCCTGCATGTTCCCTGGCCCTTGGTGTCACTCAGGACCTCTCAGTTCACACCGTCTCAGTATCAGTGGGCTTGCACAGTGGAGAGCGGGCACACAGCCCGTGGGTCTCTGGCGTTGGCTCACCCGGGCTTTCCCTCCCCAGAGCACCTGGCAGAGAAGTCTGAGAGGGACAAGTACGAGCTGCTCTGCCAGGACAACACCCGGAAGCCGGTCGATGAATACAAGGACTGCCACTTGGCCCGGGTCCCTTCCCACGCCGTTGTGGCCCGGAGTGTGGGAGGCAAGGAGGACTTGATCTGGGAGCTTCTCAACCAGGCCCAGGTATTCCCCCTGCATCCTCCCCTCCTGCTTAGGGCTCTCTGCTTGGATTGGGGGATTTCCCTCCCTGTCCCCTTGCCACTCCTGAAATCCCTGTGTGCTCAGGGACTGGGCCACACATCACCAACTTCTCTAAAGGCCAAGACTCCTCACGGCAGCAGGGTGCAGCCTCTGGTGTTACCATCTGCCACACTTACCCTTCTGGCCGGTGATGTCTGAAGAGGCTTCTCGTTGCTCTATTTTGCTTCTTTCTATCGAAACCAAGCCTTCAGGGCCCAAGGGCAAACACATGTCTCCAGTGAGGTCTTCCACGACAACCCCAGAAGGAAACAATCTCTCTCCCTGTCCCCAGCCTGACCGTGTGGGGGTTGCTGGCGTGACAGCCTTACTTCCCGAAAGTGCAGAATGTGGCTGAGTATGCATCCTCTCCCCCGGCCTCCCATCTATCCACCTGGAGAGCAGCCCTGGGGTTAGCCTCACCTCTCGTTCTCAGCGAGCTCTCAACCCCCTCAGGGAGGCAGGCACGGGTTCAAGGAAGTCGGTGTGGCTGGTCCTGCCAGGACTGGGGGCAGACAAGGTGCCGGCGAGCGGGAAGAGCCCGGCGGCCCGCTCTTCTGGCACCTTGAAACTTCTCATGTTGTTTTTCGGGGGATGTTTACCTTTCAGTCCCATTTCTCAGCCTCCCTTCTTCCCTGTCACCATTTGCCATGAACAGGAACATTTTGGCAAAGGCACAACAAAAGAATTCCAACTGTTCCAGTCTCCTCACGGGAAGGACCTGCTGTTTAAGGACTCTGCCCAAGGGTTTTTTAAAGTTCCCCCTAGGATGGACGCCAAAATGTACCTGGGGTATGAGTATGTCACCGCCATCCGGAATCTACAAGAAGGCACATGTAAGTACTCCGGAAGGACCACATGCCCTAGGAGCCTGGTGAGGGCAGAGACCCGCATGCCTCTTCTAATGTTCTTCTTCCTGTCCTGCCTGTGAGCCCAGTGTTAGATGGATGCTAAATGATATTAGTCATTATAAGATGGCCTGGGCATCGCATCACCAAGGGCTTTAAAGGAAATTCATTTAAAATGACCTGGGTGGGTACCAGCATGACTTCCCTTGACGGAATCAGGACCACCCTGCCCACTTGGTGAAGCCAAGGGACCCAGCACAAAGTAATTGAAGTAGAATGGAATGGCTGCAGACTGCATGTCTTCAGCCAGGACTGTGTGGTCGACATATGTGCCTAGGGAGGTGAAGCCCTGTGCTGAACCTCACTAGGTCACTGTGGTGTGGTTTGATCATTTGTTCAGTCAGCAGGCATTGAGTGAACCTCTGGCCGTAAACTCTTCTGGGGGTTGGACATGCAATAGTGTGACAAATACATACAGATTCTGCCGTCCTGGAGCTTTCCAACTGGGAGAAGATGAACATTAAACGAATAGTCAGACTATTGAATAATCAATTACGAAATGAGAAGATTGCCCAGAAAGGAAAAAACCAACAAAATGCCGTGATCTTATGAGCGCAAAACGAACAAAACAGGCTTTGGGCTGGGGGCTGAGGTGAGACTTCCTTCAGGAGGTGATTCTTGAGCTGTGTTGAAACGATGTCCACTTATTCACTAGACACTGATTACGCTGACCATGCGCCAGCCCCGCCCTGACCCTGCGGGTGCCCTAGTGACAAGACGGACAGGGATGTCTCCCTGTGAGGGCTTTTGTGCTGCTGAGGAAACTGGCAATAGATGAGGAACCTAGATGTTGAGAGCACCTCAGGTGGTCACGTGCTATTTGAAAAGGAAGAAGGACAAAGCATCCAGAGGTTGGAGAGGAAGGTTGGCTTCTCAGAGGTAACAAGCTGAATCTAAGTGAGAGGCCAACCGAGAGACCGCACGGACTTCGCTTTCTGAAGGGATGCACTCCTTGAGTGGTTCTGCTTGTGTATTAGAGGTGAATCCTGGCGTTTGAACGAAGACAGCAGCACTGATACACACCAGGTAACAGCTCGCCTCTTCTGATCGCTCATTTGTCTCATGCCACAGGCCCAGAGACCTCAAAGGACGAGTGCAAGACGGTGAAGTGGTGTGCCCTGAGTCACCACGAAAGGCGCAAGTGTGATGAGTGGAGTGTCAACAGTGGCGGGAAGGTCGAGTGTGAGTCAGCAGAGACCACCGAAGAATGCATCGCCAAGATCATGGTACGTCACTCCGCCTCCCTCGGGCGGTGCCCTGTCACCGCTTCTTGCTGTCCCCAAGGCAGAGCTAGTGAGTGTTTCTGGGAATGACGCAGACACCCCTGTCCCGGGAACCTTGGCCTGACTGTGAGCACAGCCTCGCGGGAGGTCAGAACTTTTGGACTTGTAGAGCTGGAGGGTGCCTGTAGGGCTCAGCTTCCTCCTCTGATTAGTATATGGTGGGAAGGGGGTGTGAGCAGTGTCCTGCTTAGGGAAGTTGGACCACAGTGTGGGTGTCCTGAGCCCTGTGGTGTGCCATGGCCCATGTGTACCTGGTGGGATCCAAGCAGGGACAAATTTGCTTTGTTGATCAAAGGAGTATTCTACAAGGGTGAGGTGGTGTGTGCCTGTAGTCCCAGCTGCTCAGGAGGCCGAGGTGGGAGGATTGTGTGAGCCCAGGAATTGAAGGCCAGGCCTGGGCAACCCAGTGAGAACCTGTTTCTAATATATATATATGTATATATTTTTTTTTGAGTGTCCCATATTGGTTTACAGAGAATTTTGAAAATCCTGAATGACATAATTCTATAAGATATAAATGATATAATTCTTACAATCATGTAATTTGGAGAAAATCCTCTTATGGGGATCATAGCTTGTTACCTTTTATTCACTAGTAAACTTTTCCCACATTGTAAGTAATTCTTTATTCTTACTTATTTATCTATTTGTGTTTGAGCCAGAGTCTCACTCTGTGGCTCAGACTGGAGTACAGTGGCACACTCACAGCCACCACAGCCTAGACATGTTGGGCTCAGGCGATCCTTCCTCCTTAGCCTCCCGTGTAGCTGGAACTACAGGCGCACAACACCATGCCTGGCTAATTTTTTGTATTTATTGTAGAGATGAGGGCTCAGGCAATCCTCTCACCTCGGCCTCCCAAAGTGCTGGGATGACAGGTGTGAGCCACTGCACCTGGCCTAATTCTTTAAAAATCTGATTCGGAGCTTCTGGACTAGCAGGGGGTATCCCTGGAGAGGACACGAATTAGTTCCGTGTGCTCTCCGCCCCTTCCTTGTCCTATCAGTCTTTGCCACGTGGCTGTTTTTGTGCTGGGTCCTTTATAATAATCTAGCAATGTACTGAAACAAAGATGCCTATCTTAAAGGCATATCTCCTGCCATTGCAAACTGATTCTTGCCAAAATCTACTTTTTGAGCACTTACAAATAACCGTGATTCTTTAAAACCATTTACTACGAAGCGCAATGGACCATCAACCCCATTCTTTTATATTTCATACATTTTATAATATCACTTTATATTACTTTAACATACATTCCATTTTATTTTTTGTCCGAATCAATGCAAGAAAAATCTAAGTTGCAAAGCCTGCAAATCCAGAACCTGGGTTTATAGACAGATCTGTTAAGTTTGTATAGTTTGGCTTCAGTATGACACCCTGGATGTAATACACTAGATGAAGTTTTGTTTGCCCAAAACATTAAGGATAAGAACTTGGGAACTTGTGAAATCTTAAATGAGGAGGATGAAGTACAATGGAAATGGTTTTTTAAAGATTCTTCTTGGACACTATAATTTGTTCTCCCATGAAGGTGTCATTGTTCAAGCCTTTAATTTTGGAAACAGCCTACAGATATTGGATCAGAAACCAAAGACCAACATTGCCATGCTCTGTGGGGCCAGGGCCGAGGGGATGACTGCTGCTGGGTGTGTCTCATGTCCAATGATCTGTTTGTTACATTACACGCTACTCTGGGCGGTCCAGCAATTGTTCATAGATGAACACTTAGTGATTAGCAAGAAGTAACCAGCATCATGGCTAGCAAAGAACGCTTGCAGACAAAGTTAAAGGACATGGTTTATTTGGTCCCATACCCGGGGCACATCCTTAGTGTCAACGGGTAGCCATTGACGTGTCCAAGTCCCCCAAGGGTATAATCGTGGACTCCAAGGCTGCAGTGGAAAGCGAAGGTGAGTGTGGAAAACAGACCTTGGAGTGAACCAGCGTTCTCAGATATCCACACAAGTGGGTGCACAGTATTTCCAAGGAGTCATCTTCTGGCATGGTAACATTATTGCTGGTATTACTGGTATGGTGGGAAGAATTCTAGGACTGGAAGAGAAAGATGCCTACGTTCAATATTCACCTCTGATCTGTGTTCTAGAATTAAGTGCTGAGTTTGTTTGACTGTCTCATGGATGTCTAATTAGCCACTTTTCATCCTAGACTTTAGTGAATCAGTCTTTAAAAGTAAAAAATGGGCTTGGCACTGTGGTGTGTGCCGTAGGCCCAGCTACTCAGGAGGCTGAGGCAGAAGGATGGCTTGAACGTGGAAGTTTGAGGCCAGCCCAGGCAACATAGTGAGACCATGTCTCAAAAAAAGTAAAAACCAGGTTAAAAAGCAACACTGATGGCAGGTATTCTGGAAATCATGAATCATATCTACAAAAATGTCATGAATAAAGTGTATGAAATAAGTAGTTTTTAATGCAATCTGTTTATTCTGGCCTACTGTTATAAAAACAGATTTCAAAAGGGCATCGCCCTCCATTGTGTGGTAGTTTTGTTTGCTGGAAATTTGGATGCTTGCTAGGTAGAAATATTCGGCTTCTATTGTGGGAAGCTGCTCCACTTTCTGCAACATACAGCAATTCATGAAAACCTGTCTTTGTTGCCCTGTTGGTCAAGGATATGGACTCACTGAATCCATAGGGGCTGGAACAATGACAGAAGTGAGGGGTTATAATACTGCCAGAAGTGGATGCCCCATTAATTTGCTGCAAAATAAATGGAAAGAACTGGAAGGAAAGTGGATACTTTATTTTATTATTTTATTTTATTTTTTATTTTTTGAGTTGGAGTCTCATTCTGTCACATGGGCTGGAGTGCAGTGGCACGCTCACGACCACTGCAGCCTCAACCTGCTGGGCTCCGGCGATCCTTCCACCTCAGGCTTCCAAGTAGCTGGAACTACAGGCACTCGCCACCACGCCTGGCTAGTTTTTTTATTTAAGGTCTCATGTCCAATGATCTGTTTGTTACATTACACGCTACTCTGGGCGGTCCAGCAAGTGTTCATAGGTGAACACTTAGTGATTAGCAAGAAGTGACCAGCATCATGGCTAGCAAAGAACGCTTGCAGACAAAGTTAAAGGACGAGATCTTACCAAGTTGCCCAGGCTGGTCTTGAACTCCTGGACTCAGGTAATCCTCTCACTTCAGCCTCCCAAAGTGCTGAATGACAGGCTTGAAGCACTGAGCCCGGCCTAAGGTGGAGCCTTTAAAACAAATAACCCCATATCCCAGAGATGAGATTCTTATTGGAGATCCAAATGTGTGTCAATGGGATAACACATTTCACAAATATGAAGCCAAAACAAAAACTGGTTTCTTTGAAGATGAAATAGACAGAAGTGATTGTTTACTGGAGCTACTAGATTGCAGGTTACTGGTAATAAAAAGAATCTTAGAAAACTACAGGCAGGGGAATATATTTACCTTGGGAAGTAGAAACAACTTGGAAACCTCTCCCACTAATAGACGGCATTGGTGCATGTGAAAACAGTTATCATTCTTATGTCGTGGGATTTGTCGTGCCAAATCAGAACTATCTTGAAAGGACTAAAAGGGACCTGGGAGGAGCTGTCTCATAGTTGCGTAACAGGAAACCCCTTTACCTGAGGCTTTACTTTCTGGGATTTCAGTTACTCACAGTCAATCGCAGTCCAAAAATGTTAAGATATTTTGAGAGAGGGAGAGAGAATATTTATATTTATACTCTGATGATAATATGTTGTTAAAATTGTCCTATTTTATCATTAGTTATTGTTGTTGATCTTTTACTGTGCCTAATGTATAAATCAAATTTTATCATAGGTATGTATCTATAGGAAAAAACACAGTATGGATAGAGTTCGGTACTGTCTATGGTTTCAGGCATGCCCTGGGGTTTTGGGGCCATGGGTAAGACTCACTGCTGTACTTAAAGTACTTTATGAAGCTGCTATTTGAGCAAATCTGAAAAAGTTTGAAAATCCATTAAAACTTTGTTTGAGCCCTGACCTATGGACCCTGAGACTGTTCTGGGGACAGATACTTTCAAGCTGAGATGCAGAGAGTTAAAACACATTACTAGGCAGACATTAAACAAATATATAGACGAAAATGATTTTTCCCTTTTGGCATCCGTTTGCTACAGTGAGCTCAGATCAAAGAAGAAATTACTTGAAATGCATGTTTCAAACTGTGAGATAAACGGTTGGTTCCTCATAATCAGTCCGAACTGTTACTTCTCATGACATTACCATTTTCAATGGACAGGATTAGTAACATATTAGGAGAGCAAACTTGTGTCTGTCTCTTCTTTCCTCACCCCTCCTACAATTAACTTGACCCCTTATAATGGCATCACTGGTATGAGGACTTTTCTGAATCATATGGGAGAAGCAGTAAGTTTTTAAACATGATTTATATGTTCATTTGACAACTTTTAAAAGTTTGACTGTGTAGAGGGAGGTACAGAAAACACACATTTTGGGGGGGGGCTTTTTACTTTTATAAGTAAATATAAGTACTCTTAAAATAGAAGGGTATTGATGTGAACTTACGTAAGTTTTAAATGCTTATGAGTTGCCATTATTGAAGAGATCTGTTGCTGTGTAATTACTGTCTTGTAGGCCTTTGAGAGAAATAAACATAGCCATACTTGTGTTTTAAAGTAGAAAAGCATGGTGTTTCAATGTAGATATCTATTCCAAAGCATGGGCGTGCTGAAACTTTTTAGCCATTTCTCTGTCATTGAGCAGTTAGCTTGGTTTTCTCTTTTTGCTCTAATAGATCACATTTTCTATTTTTGCCCACTTATACATTTTGCCCAAATAGTTGCCACGTATTTGATTGTTCTTTTACCGGTGTCTTTCTGGGGTGAATATGGCCAGTCCAAGGGAGATCTAGCAAATCTGGTTGAGTCTAAGCATCACCTCTGAAATTTGGGGCTTATTAGCTCTGAGTATAATTAGGCTGTTTGAAAATATTTGACTCATTCATAAAACACTTTGTTTGCACCAACCACAGACACAGCACTCAGCTAAGGGGGCCAAAATTAGGGGTCAGAGCCTCCATCCAAAGGTGCTTTGCTCCACAGACACAGCTGCCCATCCTAGCTCTACTCATCTCTTCCTACACAGAGGAAAATTCTTGGTTTCAGCAAGGTGTCATAGGCATGTCTCTGGGTAGTGTGTCTGTGAGAAGACTGGAGGACTGAATGGGAAGTGGTCTCTGCTCTTGAACAGACTCACAGGGCACCTGGAATGATCATCGGTTCATGAGTTTGGATGAAAACGAGAGTATGCTTTGTTTTCTTTGCTGAGTGTGCCTGATGACTCCTTAGGGGTTTGGTTCGAGCACCTGCTGTCTCTCTGGGATGCATGACAGGTGCTGGGAAGGCAACTACAAGGAAGCACCTGGAAAAGTCAGGGGGCCAGGGAATGGTCTCTTTTCATCTACCATGCTTTGCTGTGTCTTTGCAGAGCGGAGAAGCTGATGCCATGAGCTTGGATGGAGGGTTTGTCTACGTAGCTGGCAAATGTGGTCTGGTGCCCGTCGTGGCAGAAAACTACAGTAAGTGGGGGGAACACCTCTGGATTCTTCTCTCTGGGCCACAGAAAGAGATGGACAAATCACAGCCTGGTTCACACCACAGCTGCCACAAAGCTGTCCCTCATGGGGCGCCTCCTGCTTCGCAGGCTCTGGACTCCCTCATCTGCAATCCCCACCATCATCTGGAAGGAAAGGAGTTATGGAACCCTCCAGAAGCAGGGGTGGAAGCTCCGCGTTGGAAGTTCCTGCTAAAAATGACTCCGCTGCAGAGCATAGCAGGGATTTCTGGCAGGACTTCCAGCTTCCAAAACTCACACTTCTCCTGCTGCTCTGTTGCAGGGATGTAAATGCAGCTGGTCAGCACCCTCCACAGGCTCAGTGCAGGCAGAGAACCTGAAATTCACAGTTCTAGAGGCCAGCAGCTGAAATGGACCGGCATTATCCAGAGTCTGGTCTTTTTGGGAGTTGGTGACCGTGTGGATAGTTTTACCTGACTCTTTTTATTCTTAGCTGCAGCATAAGAAAGGCATGATTTTCCCAATCTATAAATAGGGGTTTAATGCCTTCTTTATTTTCTTTTCTCCAGAAAACACCCCTCATTGTACGACAGCACCAGTGGAAGGTGAGTTGGGATTGGCAACACCTGGAGTTAAAAGGTATTGTCTGGGGGACTTGGTTAGGTAAGTTTAAAATTCAAACCACAAGAATGTTAGGCACCTGAAGAGACCATTTTTGAATGCAAAAGAATCATGGAAGGATAGTAATTAATAATGCTGGCTGTTCCTTAACATTTGCCATGATCTGCACACAGGATTTCTGTTTAATGCTATAAGGTATGTTTTGGCATCCCCTAAGGATACATAAGACAACCCCATAAGAACTCAGGAAGTTCACAGATTGTTTAGGATCACACAGTTAGGAAGCAAATCCAGGCCCTCACCCCTGCGTGCCACGCTCCTTACCACCTCACTCAACTCGAGACCTGCACACTTTTAGAGGAGAGTTAGCCCTGCTTACTTGCGCCTTACAGGACTGAGTAGAGAGCCTCACACAGACAGATGTCTAGGCACATAAAGTTGCCTGAGCTCTCAGCCAGGGATGGGCCTGGGAACCCAGACCGCCGCTGGCTAAGGGTGGATCTGGAGAGAAGGAGTGAATCAGGAGGAATGACACCAAAGAGAGCACTGGGTCCCACAGCCCCTGTGCTCGGGTCCCCACAGGACATATTCCAGCTAGCCATTTGTGTCCACATCTGTCCTTGTCACTTCCACTGATGACAGCTTCCAGCCTCTTCCTGTCACTTGGGGGAACCAGGCTCTTCAGCAGATATAGAAAGAGCCATTTTTTTTTTTAGAAAGCAGTATCTATTAAGAGGATAGGAAACTCCCACGGTGGGAGGGGACCCGAGGGGGTTACCCGAAAGAGTCATTCTTATTCCATGGATAATAAGGCTTCTGCTCTCTGTTGGGACAGTATTCTGAATTAATTAAATTGGCAAACTGAAATCATAGACTGATGTTCTGTTCCCTGTTTTAAGGACCAGCATGTTTTTGCTGCTGAAAATGGCAGCCGACTTGATTTGGACATTTTCCACTTTGCATTTTTATTTTGATATAAGATCCTATTCTCATCAGAAAATGCCTAGCCCGATTGTTCTGCTGCTTTTTGGTCTTTTACTACTGTAGCCCAATACATGTTAATTTATAAAAGGTTGGAGTTACATGAGCTGTTTCAGGATCCATTCCTCTGACGGAACACATTGGGAGGGTAAATGCTGGTTTATAACTTCAGTAACCTTATACATTTAGGGAAGGGCTCTCCACCGCCACTGCTCTAGTGATGACGTTCTCTTAGTATTTTGTTTTTAAAGTTCGGGTCAAGCTCCTCCTGACAGGGGACCTGGTACTTCCCCTGTCAGTTAGTGGGAAGATCCTCTCGAGACGTGATAAGCAGTTTGGGATCTCTTTGCTTCCCTGGAGAGATGGAAGCCGACACTCTGGAGGCCCCGGAGGTGTTCATACATGCTTCTCTGGTGTCTCTCTTTTAGGGTATCTTGCTGTGGCAGTGGTGAAGAAATCAGCAGATCCTGACCTCACCTGGAACAATCTGAAAGGCAGGAAGTCCTGCCACACCGCCGTGGGCAGAACCGCTGGCTGGAACATCCCCATGGGCCTCCTCTACAACAAACTCAACCACTGCAGATTCAGTGAGTGGATCCCAGGAGGGCAGGGGCGAGGGCCAGGCTAGTGAGAAGAGTCCTGCTGGGGCAGGGGGTGGGGGGTGCAGGGGGTGTGAGGTACCGTGCTGTGGGCTCTGGTTCTATGGAAGAAGAGTGTGGTCAACGTGAACCTCAAGAAAATTTCGGAAAGGGCTGGGAGGGCAGGAATGGCTGGAACTGGGTCCCTGAGTCAGGACGAGTCATTCCAGCTGCACATAATGGCATGGGTGACTATGCATTTACTTTTTCTAATGAAATAGACCAGAGGGGAGCAGTCCACGGCTGGTGGGGTCACAAGGAGCCCGGGGTCCTTCTTTTGCTCCACCCTTCTCAGCGTGAGGCTTCCACCATCAAGGTCACCCCCGGGGTTGCCAGCACCTCTGTAATCCAGGCAGCCCCAAACCCCGCAGGATTGAGCAAAAGGAAGAGCATGCCAGCTGCCATCAGCTTTTCTTTTCTTTTTTTTTTTGAGTTGGCGTCTCACTGTCGCCCAGACTGGAGTGCAGTGGCCGCTCCCGGCCACCACAGCCTCGACCTGCTGGGCTCCAGTGATCCTTCCGCCTCAGCCTTCCAAGTAGCCGGAACTACAGGCGCATGCTACCACGCCCGAATAATTTTTTGAGTTTATTGTAGAGATGAAGTCTCGTTGCCCAGGCGGGTCTCGAACCCGCGGGCTCAGGCAATCCACTCACCTCAGCCTCCCAAAGGCGCAGGATTACAGGCTGAGCCACCGAGCCGGCTGCCATCAGCTTTTCAAAGGAACCTCCGGGGTGTCTAACCAGTTATTTCTGCTAACTTCTCATTGTCCCGGCCAAACGCCCATCACCACACTGAGCTGTAACAGAGAAATGTAATCTCTCATTTGGGCGTGTTCCTACCCCAAATAAAGGCAGATTTTTGTTGCTAAGGAAGAAGAAGAAATGGATATTGGGTAGACAGCTAGCAATCCCTGCCACCGTGTGAGTGATCCTAGGGCTCTTTAAGGTGCTGGCAACCTCACTGAGTCACTGCCAGTTTCTAGGATCCTTCTAAGGAATAGTGATCACTTCATTTTGTGTCCTTGGACTATAATCAAGTGTGAGCTTCTGTCTAGCTCCTTAAATGTCTAGGTGTAAGTCCCCCACAGACAAATGTTTTCCGCATTTCTGATCCGCATTCGCTTTCTGAGTATATCCCCCCTGCCACTTCCAAATTTGGGCTACTCTTTCAAAAAGAGGCTTCTACGTTTGGTTATGAACCAGCAACCCCATGTGAGTGGCGAGGGGGACTGGAGATGAGAGCACATCTCTGCACCAGGGTACTCTGTAACACCAGCTGGACATGAAACAAAGTACAGCTGGGGCAACAGCCAGAAAGCTCTGGAACCCCACTGTCCAAGACCAGCCCTCTGCTTTCTTAAGCTGCTTTCACAGGCACAAGAGAGCAACTGAGCAGCAAGGAAAATCCCCCGTCTTTCTCTTGAGTTGGAGTGTGGCAAAGGTAAAGGAACGGTAGAGAGCGGCCATCTGAAAACAGGTGGCATGAGCCCAGGAAGCGAAGTCATCGGTCTTTACCCCTTGCCTGTCCCCTTTCATGCCATTTTCCTTTCTTCTCTCTTGAGGTTAGCGATGACAACATCATGGTGCTCAAAGGCATCGCACTCTGAATTGTAATGGTCACTGACGACTTTTCCCAGCCTCAACAAGTTTCCTTTTGAAGCCTATAGCCTGGCAGGCGCTGAGTTGGTGGTGGCTAGTCAGAGAATGAATGAACGTGTTCTACCTTTCCTGGGCCATGCAGGCTTGTTGTGTTAAAAGAAAGCCGCTCCTATGGACCTGGGAGGAGCTGACATGCTCTTGTCTTTCCGTGCAGATGAATTTTTCAGTCAGAGTTGTGCCCCCGGGTCTGAGAAGGATTCCAATCTCTGTGAACTGTGTATGGGTACAGAGCCAAACAAGTGTGAACCCAACAACAAAGAGGGATATTACGGCTACACTGGGGCTTTCAGGTGAGTCAACCCTGACACAGTAACTTGACAGAGTAACATTTGTGTCTTGACCACACCTCTTTTAGGAAGAAAGGTGAGATTCTTAGATTCCTCTTCCGTTAGTGCTACTGAATTAGGGGGTAGATTTCACAACCGCATGTAGAGCCGTGTGTGGAGGCAGCCAGACTGCCCCAGGATACCGTCTGCCAGACCTGGCTGTCACAGACACAGAGACTTGGTGGGCACAGGAAGACTGCAGCTTAAGTCCCCTAAACTCTTCGATCCCTGTGAATACAACACACTCTGCTTTGCCAAACTAGAAACCGTGGAGTGGAATTGTACTCACTCTGACTCACAAGGTCGTTCTAACTGGAAATAGGACCAACCTTAGCGCTTTTTTTGAGTTAGAGTCTCACTCTGTCGTCCAGACTGGAATGCAGTGGCCGCTCCCGGCCACTGCAGCCTTGACCTGCTGGGGCTCC